ACATGCCATTTTGCAGCAAGGACTTTACTGCTTACGCAAACGTTTGCTTCAGAGAGTTTGGTAACAGTGTCAAGTTCTGGAACACGATCAACGAAGCTAATATATTCACAATTGGAGGTTACGACGACGGTGTATCAGCGCCTGGTCGCTGTTCCTTACCTGACAAAAACTGCTTGTTAGGGAACTCTTCCAGTGAAACATACATCGTAGGTCATAACTTGCTGCTTGCGCACGCCTCTGCTTCAAGACTCTATAAGAAAAAGTACAAGGTATAGACCAACTTGCTTGCGTACATGCACATTTATATTTTATATATATAATTTCACCCTCTTGAAATGTGCAGGATGTGCAAGGAGGTTCCGTAGGCTTTAGCATATATGCAATAGGGTTTATGCCTTCTACAAACTCTAAAGATGATGAAATCGCGATGCAAAGAGCTCGAGATTTCTACTCCGGCTGGTGAGTCAGTCAGGCATAAAATGTTTCTATATCGTTGGATCAAGATTTTAAAGCTGAAAACAAAAAAAATCTTCCACTTTTAAAATGCAGGATGCTTAGGCCACTTATATATGGAGACTATCCTGATGAAATGAAACGAACCGTTGGATCAAGATTACCAGTTTTCACAAAGGAAGAATCAGAACAAGTTAAAGGCTCAACTGATTTTATAGGAATCGTTCACTACATTGCAGCTATTGTCTCAAGCAACAAACTCAAACCTTCTACTTCAGGAATCACAGATTTCTACTCAGACTTGGGCGTATCTATGACTTGTACGCATCAAAACTCTTGAAATCGAGCTTCTTTCGCCTTTTTTATCTCAATATTTCCTGATCATCTCTTCTTTGTTTCCAGTCATTGGGAACTTGTCACTTTCCGAGGTAAGAGTTTCGAGTGTTCTGTTTCATAACTAGTGTTCCCATTCCCAATCCATCTTTCTTAATTAGTTGTTTCTGTTTTTGTACGGAATAGTATGTTGTTTCTCCTTGGGGTATGGAAGATGTCTTAGAGTATATAAAGCAGAGCTATGACAATCCTCCTGTCTACATTCTTGAGAACGG